TAAATTTGATAGTGAAATAGCCACATGTGGCTGGTGGTGACTGTTTTGCTTAGCACAGTTGTAGTGCCTAGTCTAGTGTTATCTAGTTTTATAGGTGAGGGATTTGAAGATTCCAGCGGAGGCGTGGCTTGCTCAGGGTTACCTGCTGAGCCTGGAGCTCAGGCAGGTTTGCACCGTTGACATGCTAAGTCCCCAAGCTACTGCATTTGAACAACTGACAGAAAGAGAGAGACATGCAGTCAGGTCTAGCGTACCCTGGAGGACACAGGCTGTGGGCAATGCCAGCCTGGTTAGGGACCTCAGTGGCAATTCTGCGTGAGAACAATTCCAACCCGGCAGACCTCACAGCAAGAGTTGGTGCAGGTAACACAAATGTACAGGGGCCTCCTACCTGACACCTGCTGGCCCTCCCTCCTTTGTGCCTGTCTAGGGGCTAGAACCTTCCTTTTCCTCCAATCAAAACATGACCTCTAAAATGTGCCTGGAGCTACAGTATAAATGACTAATAAAAAGTGCCCGTTCCAGGCCAGATGTGGTGGCTGATGCCTGTAATCCTGGCACTCTGGGAGGCTGAGGCAGGCGGATTGCTCCAGGTCAGGAGTTCGAGACCAACCTGAGCAAGAGCGAGACCCCCATCTCTACTAAAAATAGAAAGGAATTAATTAGCCAACTAAAAATATATAGAAAAAATTAGCCGGGCATGGTGGTGCATGCCTGTAGTCCCAGCTACTCGGGAGGCTGAGGCAGGAGGATTGTTTGAGCCCAGGAGTCTGAGGTTTCTGTGAGCTAAGCTGATGCCACTGAACTCTAGCCTGGGCAACAAAGTGAGACTCTGTCTCAAAAAAAAAAAAGTTTCCATTCCAAATGATTTCTCTTTTAATGGAAATTAAAGGCTTAAGCCAAAGAACATGTCTCTAATCGGTAGAGCGTCCGGTATCAGCAGCAAAAGCTAGTGTTTACGGAGCTTTGCGCACCTGGCACTGTTCAAAGTGCTTGGCATGTACTAATTCCTTGAACTCTCGTGACAACCCCATGAGAGAGGAGCAAGTGCTCCATTTGAAGATGGGGAAACTGAGGCACAGCGAAGCTAAGTAGCTGGTCCAGTTCACACAGGTGGGAGTGGCCAGACCAGGGCTCAAATCCAGGCAGAGCTGGGAGAAAAATATTGGCAAGGAGAAGGAAGGAGGAAGTGGACCATGCCAGTGGAGGGGAGGTCTTTTCCTTTAATCTGATGTCAGGGACCACCCAAGCTCTACCCATCCAGTGGTGTGATACCCTGCAGGCATCTGTTGCTTCCCGTCCTCTGGTGCAACAGTTAGAAACGCACCGGAGCGTGTGGACGTGCGGGCGTGATCCCGCTTGGCCCACAGGCCCGCTGTTTTACGTTAGGCTGCGATTTTTCTAGATTACTCAGCCTTTGGAAGGGAATCTGGGCCAAGGACAAACCTCTGGTGAGAAGAACAGGGTGTCTGGAGAACCGGCCCCCTCCTCCTCCCCGCCTCCTCCGTGCAGAGAAAAGTGCTGCAGTAGCAGTTATTGCAGGCCCGCCCCTGCCAGCCCCAGTGGTTTTGGGGGTGGCCCTGCCTGTGGCTTGGCCACACCCCCTTCCAAAGGGTCTTGAGAAGGAGCCAGAGAGATGCTTCTGTCCCTCCTGTGCTCTGGCAGGGCAGCCTGCAGCCCTTCAAGGAGCCTGCTAGTGAGTGTGCTGTTTTTTTGTTTTTTGAGACAGAGTGTCACTCTGTTGCCCAGGCTAGAGTGCCATGGTGTCAGCCTCGCTCACAGCAACCTCCAACTCCTGGCCTCAAGCTATCCTCCTGCCTCAGCCTCCCCAGCAGCTGGGACTACAGGCATGCGCCACCATGCCCGGCTGATTTTTTCTATATATTTTTAGTTGGCCAGCTAATTTCTTTCTATTTTTGGTAGAGATGGGGTCTCGCTCTTGCTCAGGCTGGTCTCGAACTCCTGAGCTCAAAGGATCCACCCAGAGTGCTAGGATTACAAGCTGACTCACTGGCCCTGCCTGGTGAGTGTACTGGTTTTAACTGGTTAACAGGTTAACCGTTTGAGCGCTGGCATACGACAGCCTGGGTTTTCAACTGGATTCATGCACTGAGTCACCTAATCATTCAGAGCGTCAGTTTCCTTATAGCAGGTATTCCCTGAAAGCCTGTCGAATGAATGAATGAAGTAGTGCATGAGTTCATATAATAACAGAGACACATTCATCAAGGAACAGAGATAGACCAACATGGGGATTGGCTTTGTTTGGAGCGGGGATAGGTCTAGGAAGGGCCAGGGATGGGCAAGTGAGGCTTCAGAGTTTACTCTGAAGATGAAATCCAAGTAAGGTTTAGAATGGTGAGCGTTGTAATCCTAGCACTCTGGGAGGCTGAGGCGGGCGGATTGCTCGAGGTCAGGAGTTCGAAAGCAGCCTGAGCGAGAGCAAGACCCCATGTCTACTATAAATAGAAAGAAATTAATTGACCAACTAAAATATACAGAAAAAATTAGCCGGGCATGGTGGTGCATGCCTGTAGTCCCAGCTACTCAGGAGGCTGAGGCAGGAGGCTCACTTGAGGTTGCTATGAGCTAGGCTGACGCCATGGCACTCACGATAGCCTGGGCAACAAAGTGAGACTGTCTCAAAAAAAAAAAAAAATGGTGAACGTGTATTTATCCCCATAGAGAAGGGGCCAGCAATCCAGTCTGTGAGAATGTGATTTACAAAATCCTCTAGGTCTGCTGTTCCCAGCCCCAGAGCCCCAGACTGCTACGGGCCACAGCCTGTTAGGGGTCAGGCCACAGAGCTCCACTGCCCCTCCCCCCATCCATGGAATAATTGTCTTCCATGAAACCGGTCCCTGGTGCCAAAAAGGTTGGTGACCACTGCCATAGGTGATTGGGTCCGGGGCTAGTTTTGCCGAAAGCCCCCTTAATTTAAGAAGATCATCTCTAAACTTCTGTTTCTGTAGAAATCAATGATATTTAATAAAAAATCCCACTTACTAAAAGTGAACAACAGAAAGTCCCATGTCGTGATGCTTTACAGAGGGAAGAGGGGGTGTGAGTGGGCAGTGAACTGAACCGGGCACGGGAAGGCCAGGGGGATCAGAGCGGGCTGGCCCTGCTCTTACTGTCCCATTTACAGATGAGGAAACTGAGGCTCAGGAGGTATATCTCACTCAGAAGACATCGCTGCTGGTGCTTACCTCATGCCAGTCTGCCTGTCCCGTGCGCGTGAGCCACGCAGTCACCTGGTCACTGCACAAACCCTTGTTGCCTCCTTACTTCGCCCCAGAGATGACAGGGATGCACCCACACTGGACCTGGGGCCTCACCTAGGGTGCCTTGGGGCCACAGAGCACCCCGGGCTGGGAGCCGCGGGATGGCAGCGGGCCAGGCCGAGAGTCTGAACAGCAGGGCCAGAGGGAGGCCCAGGATGTGCCTGGGCATGACTACGCCCCGCCCTTCTTTTCTCTTTTTTATCGTGGCCCAACTTCAGCGGCTAAATCTGGTCATGCGTTATGGAGCCCTGAAAGACAGTCTCGATCCTTGCGAGAAAAGGAAGGGAATAGCAAAACAGGGAAATAGATTTTGGGGGTTTGTTTTGTTTTTTTCTAACAACATTGACTGAGACGAATGCAGGTACCATAAAATTTACCCTTTTGGATTATTTATTATATAATGTCATGGTTTTTAGTATATTCAGAATTGCGTGGTTCTATCAATGCTATCTAATTTCAGAACATTTTCGTCGTCCCCAAAAGAAATCCCTGATCCTTTAGCAGTCGTCCCCCCTGCGCCCACCTTCCCCGTCCTGGCGGCCACCGTGCGTCCCCACAGACGTGCCCATGAGGACAGCCCACGGACATGGGCGCACACAGTGCGCGCGTGTTCTTTCCTATCCGGCTCCGTTCACTTCACGTGACGTCTGCGAGGTCCGTCCCGCCGAAGCGAGAGGAGCTGGACAGTCAGTAGATTGACCGGTGGGCGATGGTTAAATGTCCCGAGCGCCCCCCGCGCGCCAGCCCCAGGGGTCCAGCCCCGAATAAAACTGACTTCGAACTCTGCCCTGCGGGGGTTCTGGCTGGGAAGAGGGACTCTAAACCAAATGAATAAGTAAATTACTTATAATATCAGACCGTGGATAAGAGCTGAAGTGACGCCCAAAGGAGGGAGGGCGAAGAGCATGGACGTGACTTTGAACAGAGCAGTGCGCCCAGGCCTGGCCACCGGGACGTCCCGCCCAGCTGGACGCGGGTGACGGAGGTGAGGAGCAAAGCTGCACCACGACGTCTCCGGGCCCGCGCCGAGTCCGGCCCGCAGGTCTGTCCCCCGAGGCCGGGACCTCGCCGGGCCCGTCCGCGCCGCGCGCCCGGCACGGTGGGCGACACGCAGCTGGCATTTCGCGCCGCGGCCGCCGCCCGCCTCTGGCCAGCGCGGGGCGGGGCGCGGGCCGCGGCCGGGACACCGCCTGGGTCGCGCAGGCCCGCCCCGCGCCGCCGGCCCACCTCCCTCGCCGCCGCCATTGGCCGCGCGCCCCTCCGGCGCCACTTCCTGGCGAACCATGCTGCGCTCCCCGCGGCCCCACGCCCGCCCCGCCCGGCCGCCCGCCGCCCGCCGGCGCCGGCCCCGCGCCCGGGCGCCCCGCGCGCGCCGGTAGCGCGCTCCCAGGTGGCCTCCGCGGCGCCGCGCCGGAGCCGGGCCGCCGCCGTCCGGGCGCCGGGCGGGGCGGCGGGGACGAGCGTCCCGGCCCCCGCGAGCGAGCTCGGTCCCGCGGGGCCCTTTGTGCTTGGGTGGGGGCAGCGGGGCGGGCGGGGGGCGAGCGGAGCGCCGCGGCCCTGCGCCCGGGCCACCGCGGGGTGGGGAGTGCGGCTGCCCCCGCGGGCGGGACAGGTGCGGCCTGTGCGCCCGGCCCCCGCGCGCCCGCAGGTGAGTGTCCCGCCGTGGGCGCCGGCCTCGGGCGCGCCCCAGCGCCGCCTGCTCGCCGCGGGCTCGAGCCTGCCCGGCGGCCGTTGCGCCGGCGGTTCCGCCAGGGGGTGCCGGCCCCGAGCGAGCGGGTCCCCGGAGACCCGCCGGCGACACCGGGACGGTGAGTGTCGCCGGGCAGCCGTGTGGGTTTCGGCAGCCTGGCGTTTCCTGGAGCGCTGCGGCCGGGAAGGAGCGCGGGGAGGAGGCTCCCCGGGGACCCTCCCGGCCCGGACGTGGCCTCTGCGCCCATGTTTACCGGAAGACCTTTCCCGTGTAAGTTGGGGTCGCCACTGCGTTCGTGGGTGGCCTTGACCCTTCGCCTGCTTCCGAAAAGCACGGGAGGCGGCTGACACCCGGCGCGGGGAGCGGCAGCCCCAGGCCACTTCCCGGGGACAAAGGGAGGCGCCTACGCCGGGGACTCTGTCCGGAGATCTCGGCCTAGAAAGCGCCGGCGTCGGAGGGCGAAACCGAGCCCTGGCGGCGGCCGAGGCTGGCGGAGAGAGAGGACACCTGCTGCTTCCTGCAGCGTGACCTTGGGCAAGCCCCCAGGCCACCGAGGGCGTGGGTGTCTCGCGGTGGAAGAGATGGTGGCACCTGTCTCAGAGGGTGGAATGAGGAAGTCAGGGGCGTGCAGTGGGCGCTGTTTGAGTGCTGGTTTTCTTCCCTTCCCTCTGGGCCTCCCCGCAGCCCAGGGGCACCAGGAAGGGCCGGGGGTGGGAACAGCTTGTCATTGACACAAAGTTGCTAGTTTGTCAAGAGAAATCTAGCTGTCCCTTCCTCCCCACACACACACCAGAGTTGCACGGGCTGGACTGTGCCTGCGTCCATTCTTCCCATGGGAGCACCGGCGCCCCCTCCCTGTGTCCCCCATTATCTTAGAACAGTGCTGACTTGTCACATTGTGCTTTATTAGCAAGGGCTGTTTGTTCCGTAGGTGACACATTGACTCTTTTCCTGAACTCAGGTAGCAGGGGAAAGAATTCCTCTTTGAAACCTCAGTCCCAGTATGTGACTTGTGCTGACACTTCATCCTTCCTGTGTGTGTCCCCCCAAACTCTAACCAACCCTCCGCCCCCAAGCCTAGCTGTGTGCTGGTGGTGAGTTGGGTAGCAAATGCCTGGTGCACCAGCCCATTGTATGGATTTGACCATGAGGTTCAGAGAGGTTAACACACTTGCTCAAGTTCATGTTCAAGGCAAGGCCTTTAGGCCCCAGCAGAGGTTTCCTGCCTGAGGGCTTTTTTTTTTTAATGGTGGTATAAGCTAAGGGTTTAAAGGTTGGAATCCAAACTCTGCCAGTTCCTAGCTTGCAGTGCTGTGCAAGTTACTTCTCTTTGCTATCAGCACCCTCCTCATAAAATGAGACGGTAATAGCGCCAGCCCCATGGGGCTGCAGTAGGGATTAAATGAGTGAAGACAGGGAAAAGCACTTAGGGCAGTTGTCTAGGTTTGAAAGCATGGTACTCTCGAGGACTGGGCCTCATCCGGTACTGTGCCGTGGGGAAGGGCCTAGGATTTGAAGCTGGACACACCCAGGTTGTAAGTCTCAGCCATTCACTAGCTCTGTAACCGCGAGAGACCAACACCCTCACCCGTGCAGTGGGCTGAGGGACATCAGCCTGGCCAAGTATCTGTGAGGGTTAAATGAGACGGGATGTGAGGTCCCTTAGCTTGGTCCCAGGGCCGTAGCTTGTCATAACCTTGATCTAGCCAAAAGAGCTGGTTCAGATTAAGAATCAAAAGGTAGTGGCCGGGCGCAGTGGCTCATGCCTGTAATCCTAGCATTCTGGGAGGCCGAGGCGGGCGGATTGCTCGAGGTCAGGAGTTCAAACCAGCCTGAGCAAGAGCGGACCCGTCTCTACTATAAATAGAAAGAAATTATTGGCCAACTAATATATATATATAGAAAAAAAAAATTAGCCGGGCATGGTGGCGCATGCCTGTAGTCCCAGCTACTTGGGAGGCTGAGGCAGGAGGATCGCTTGAGCCCAGGAGTCGGAGGCTGCTGTGAGCAGAGGCTGACACCACGGACCACGGCACTCACTCTAGCCTGGGCAACAAAGCAAGACTCTGTCTCAAAAAAAAAAAAAAAGGTAGTTACAGGGACGTGAGCTTTAATGACATGATGTTGGGAGGTTTCCGACGCCGGACCCGAGTGAAAGGTTCTATCCAATTCTCACAACCCAGGGCTCAGACACACAGCATAAAAGAGACCTTTGTGGTGCACTGTCCTCCCTCTTCCCTCCATGTGACCGTTCTCACTCTCGTTGTCCTTGCTATCTGCCAGCAGGGCCTGAGCTCAGTGCATGACCTCGGGTTGTGGCTGCACGCTCAGGAATCCCGTTCTCCTTGCAGGGCTGCGACCCCTTTTGCGATGGAGGGAAGCAGGCAGACTCGGGTGTCTCGGCCGTGCAGGATCAGCGAGTCGTCAAAGGTCTGTGAGCATTCGCTTTGCTTTTCATCTTTTTTTCCCATGGCATATAAGCTGAGGGCTCAGAGGCTGGGATCCCGGCGCTGCCAGTTGCTGGCGTGTAGGGCCGCGCAAGCGCCGCTCCGCCTCACCTGCCACCTGTCCCGGCTGCCTAAGAAGCCACATTGTGTTTCTGGCTAACGCGTTTCTCCCCGTTTCTCACCGCCCTTCCTGTCGTTGTTAGTCTCCTTAACCACCCGGAGAGGCAGAGACAGGGCGGGAGGGGAAAGTGTCATAAAATCAGAGAGAGTGGGGACGCGCAAGGGACAGTAGAGGCACTGTGGCCAGACGTCTTTAGTTTTCAGTGTGACATTCCAGAGCCGCCTCTGTGGCACAGTTAAGCTCGTTTATTCTGTGCGTCCGCCCTAAGAGGTGGGTGACATGGGGAAAGAGCCATGGGGGGGTTTCTTTCCCTGCTTGGAGGCTCAAAACCTCCAAGGGACGTGATCATTGAAAATCCAGCCTTCGGCCGGGCGACGCCTGTAACCTGGCACTCTGGGAGGCCGAGGGCAGACGGATTGCTCGAGGTCAGGACTTGGAACAAACCTGAGCAAGAGCTGAGACCCGTCTCTACTATAAATAGAAAGAAATTAATTGGCCAACTAATATATATAGAAAAAATTAGCCAGGTGTGGTGGCGCATGCCTGTAGTCCCAGCTGCTTGGGAGGCTGAGGCAGGAGGATCGCTTGAGCCCAGGAGTTGGAGGTTGCTGCGAGCGAGGCTGATGCCATGGTACTCACTTTAGCCTGGCCAACAAAGCGAGACTCTATCTCAAAAAAGAAAAAAAAGGAAAAGAAAATCCAGCCTTCGACCTTATGGTGGGACAACTTACTATGTCTATCTGGATGTTATTTTTTTTATTATTATTATTTTTTTTTGAGACAGAGTATCGCTTTGTGCCTGGGCTAGAGTGCCGTGGCATCAGCCTAGCTCACAGCAACCTCGAACTCCTGGGCTCAAGCGATCCTCCTGCCTCAGCCTCCCGAGTCGCTGGGAACTTACAAGGCATGCCACCATGCCCGGCTCATTATTTTCTATGTATTTTTAGTTGGCCGATTAATTTCTTTCTATTTTTAGTAGTCGAGGGTCATCGTCTGCTTCAGGCTGGTCTCGAACTCCTGACCTCTAGTGATCCTCCCGCCTCGGCCTCCCAGAGTGCTGGGATGACAGGCGTGAGCCACTGCGCCTGGCTATATACCCAGATGTTAAGGGCCTGGAGTCCTTGTCCCTGGTCATGATTCTCTGGGACCCTGAGAGCAAGTGAGGGTGGGTTCCCCAGGTGCAGGCTACCATGGGATCGACCATGTGGAAACATACACGCCTGGCCCCACCCGGACCTGCAAACTAAGAGCTGAGAGCAGGAACCGGCCTTTCAGTAAACTCCCTGCGGTGATTTGGAGCAGTGTACGCCTGTCTCCTCGTTATAAACATTAATAATGCCCGCTTTTCTTTAAACATGTCCCTTTTGGGGATCAAATTTTATAGTCGCCTTAAATGGCGCTTTCTCGAGGAGGGTGATATCGGCCCGCGGGCAGGTGCAAATCGGTTCTTGGAGGTGCGGAAAGAAGTTAACTCTTTTCATATTTGCAGAGCGCAGCTATGCATGCGGTACCCAGGCGGACGCTCAGTGCATCCGTGGTGCTAAAGTTTTGTTGGGGGACTCGGGGGGGGGGGGAGATACACCAAAAGGTTTCTTGGGGGGGGTGATAAAGCGCTGCCTTAGGTAGAGAGAGGGGGAGGGGGTTGCAGCTAGCCCCCCAGGTTTGGGAAGAAGGGCAAAGAGGTTCTACAGATGTGCGTAAAAGAAAAGCCGCCTGTCGTCTTCAAGAGAGGTCGGCTCTCCCGGGAAGGGATCTCCTCTATTTCCGTTCGAGTCTGCTCAGCAGGCTCCTGCCAAGCCCTGCTTTGTGCAGCGAAAGCCCAGAAAGGTCCCCTGCTCTCTGAAAGGAGCTTTGTTTGGGAACTTGGCTGCGAAGACAGTGTCGCTTTCTAAGTTTGATAGCGCCGGGAATCTCTGTCCCCCGTGCCAGATTCAGAGTTTGCTACTCTCTGAGTGGAGGCGCCCGGGGGTACGGTCTCTCTCTGTTGGTTTGATTATGCTCACAGCAACCTCCAACTCCTGGGCTCAAGTGATCCTCCTGCCTCAGCCTCCCGAGTAGCTGGGACTACAGCTCTTGTCATGTTAGCAAAATGGGGTCTGCCCGTTCACATTTGGTGTCGTTCTTATAGATAATCCCCGGGGAGGGACACATTGGATACCTCTTCCCCGAACCCAGGGTATCAGGAAGATGCTCCTGTTTGAAACCCCATCCCAGGGTAAACTGTGCGACATTCCATCTTCGTTCCAAACTCCTTAACCAACTCCCCCCCTTTAAGGGCCTTAGCATGTGCTTGTGGTAACTGTCTACAAGGTGCATGCACCACCCCATTTTTTGAAATAGGGATTGTATCCATGGGGCATGGTTCAGGAGAGGTTTGATCCACAACACACTTGGCCAAGTGTCATGTGGTTCAAGGCAAAGGTTGGCCAGCAGCGGTTCTTGCCTAAAGGCAAATATCTTTTTTTTTTACGGTGGGGTAGAAGCTAAGGTTTAAGGGTTGGACAGCAAACTCTGCCAGTTCCTCCTACTACAGTGCTGGCAATGTTACGTAATTCTCTTCTGCTATCAGCACCATCAAAAGAACCGTAAGCGCCACCCCAGGTCACTGGCCACCCCCAAAAAAAAGTAGAGAGTATGAGTGACAACAAGGAGCGACAGCACTTGGCCCAGTCGTCTCTAGGTTTCGAACGACATCGGACCGTCGATGGACTGGATCTCCGGCTGTGCCGTGGGAGGGTCTAGATGGAAGTTTGAACCACACCAAGAGTGAAAGTCCAGATCCAATCACGAGCTCGTGTAGCCGGAGATGACAACACCGATACCGGCCAGTAGGGCGAGGACATGTCAGCCGTCAATGTAATGTGAGGGCTAAAGAGACGGAGTACGCTCTTAGCTTGGTCCATGCCGCTACTGTCAAACTTGATATGGCCAAAAAGAGCGTTCAGATTAAGAACAAAAGGTAGTGCCGGGCGCAGGTGGCTCATGCCGTGTAATACCTCGACATAGCTGGGGAGGCCCGAGCCGTGTCGCGAAATTGGCTCGAGCAGAGTAATCAAAAGCAGCCTGAGCAACGAGCGCCAGACCCAGTCTCTTACTATTAAATAGAAAATAATTATTGCCACTAATATACCATGGCCATGTATGAGAGTAAAAAAATTACCGGGGCATGGAGCGCATTGCCGTGTCCCCAGCATCTTGGGAGGCTGAGGCAGCGAGGACGCTTGAGCCCTGAAGGTTCAGGCAGCTGCCGTGAGCGAGCTGACAACCAACGGGACACGTCACAGGGCATGAGTTATACTCTTAGCACTGGGCAAACAAAGCCAAGACTCTGTCGCTCAAAAAAAAAAAAGTAATTGGACAGGGAACGGGGTCGACGCTTAAGACATTGATGGTGTGTAGTTATTCACGGACGCCAGGGAACCAGTATCAGGCGTCTAGTCAATTCATCAGAACTACCGCATGCCACACAACATTAAAAACTTTGGTGCATCTGCCCCCCAAACTCAGTCATTGAGCGCGACATTTATGGACTCACTGTTGTCACTTTGCATCCCAGCAGGGCTGAGCTCAGGTGCGAGAACCTGCTGGGCACGCCAGCGGAAACCGTTCTCTGCAAGGTCTTCGACCCTTTGCGAGAGGGAAGCAGGCAGACTCGGGTGTCTCGTCCGGCAGGATCACGCGATCGTCAAAGTCTGACATTCGTTCTTGTCACTTTTTTTCCCATGGCAATCAAGCGAGCTCATAGCGGATCCCGCGTCTGCAATCTGCGGCGCGTAGGGCGCACCGCCGCTCCGTCACTGCATCCGCTGCAAGAACGCCACGTGTGTTTCTGCTACGCGTTTCCACCGTTCTCACCGCCCTTCCCGTCGTTGTATCCCTTAAACCACCGCAGAAGCAGAGACAGGCGGGAAGGGGAAAGTGTCTAAAACAGAAGAGGGGACGCCAAGGCACAGTAAGGCACGTCTCAGACGTCTTATTTCAGTTGACATCAGAAAGCCGCCTCTGGTGGCACAGTTAAGCTCGTTATTCTCGCTCCGCCCTAAAGGTGTGACACTGGGGAAAGCCATCGGGGGTTTTTCCTGCTGGAGGCCTCAAACCTCCAAAGGACTGGCATCGGAAAATCCAGCCTCCGCCGGCGACACCTGTAATCCCAGCACTCTGGAGGCCGAGCAAGGAGGTCGAGGCAGGACTGAAACCAGCCGGGAGCAAGAGTGAGACCCGTCCACATAAATAGAGAAATAATTGGCCACAATATAAACGCAGAAAACCAGTGTTGCGGCATGCCGTAGTCCAGCGCTTGGAGGCTGAGGCAGAGGACGCTTGAACCCAGGATTGGAGGTCTGCGACGATGGCTGATGCATGGTCTCACTACCTGGCAGCAAAAGCGAGACTTCTTCAAAAAAGAAAAAAATAACCTGCGCACCCTTAGTGTGGGACAATTACCCATGTCATCGGATGTATTTTTATATATTGTTCTTTTTTTTTTTGAATCAGAGTATCGCTTTGTCCTGGGCTAGGATGCCGTCTGCGATCACTAGCTCACAGCAAACCTTCGAACCCGGCGCAAGCGATCCTCCTTGCTCAGCCCCGACGCGAACTACCAGCAGCGCCACCATGCCCGCTCATTTTTTTCTATGTATTTGTTTTAGTGGCCGATATTGCGTTCTATTTAGTAGAGACGGGTCTCGCCTGCCAGGCTGGTCTCCGAACCCTGGACCTCTATGACTTCCCGCCTCGGCTCCACACTCTGGGATGACGACAGGCGAGCCACCGCGCCGGCTGTATAACCCTAGATGTTATGCTGGATCCCTTGTCCCGTGCAGACGCCTGGACCGAAGCAAGTGAGGTGGGCCCCAGCAGGC